GGATAGTGAGTTCCCTGAGCCAGAATGGAGCTGACGTACATAGAAAGAAGTCCCAGCCCCTGGTCTCTGACTGGTCTATCCTCATGCAAATAAGGACTTCAAATCCACACAGTTCGATTGGTTGAAAAATTACTTCTGGTGTTCAGAATGAAGACACTGTGATTGGTTCGTGAGGATGCTAATGAGAATATAGCTGCGCAGGTCTGATTGGACAGGGAAAGTGGCAGTCCTATTGGTTGAAATACAATTCCAGGAACTTTTTTCATAAATGTTGCCTCAGGCACAGGAACACAGTGTAGGAAGGCAGTTCAGTGTGAGAGGTGGATAGGTTAATGCAGGCTTTTCAGTGAAGTGTGGCTTGCATGAGAGGCACCTGTTTAGAAATGGCTGCTAAGCTCTGTATTTTAAATTTGAGCCCAGTTAGCCACCAGGAGTCCTTCTTGGTAGGTAAAATCTTTCTCAGGGTTCATATATACTATAAAGACATAGTAGAAAAGTTTTATATCAGTGCATAAATCCAGGAAATGAAAGATCTAACACTTAAGTCATTGGGCTCCGGTTGATACATTTTCACTAATTTAAAATGAAATAACGTCAACATACAACTCAAGAAATTAGGAAACAAACAAGAAAATAAAATTTAAAAATGCTGATTGGAGGGGTCAAAGATAAAAGAAGAAATCGGTTGATCAATGGAAAATGATAAAATCAATGATGAAACCACAATCTTATTTGAAAAAACACTAAAAGAATCCAGAAAAAAATTAGGAAGGAAAAATAGATGCACAAAACATGAAATACAACATAGTTAAGTTGACTTTATTTTAGGAATGTAATGATTACCTCAGTACTTGAAAGTCTATTAATGTAATTCTTCATATGAAATCTTAAATGACTCGAACATGTTTTTAAGCCCGGTTTGAAGAATTGGAAAAAGAATGATTTTTTTTTTCAATTCAAGACAATTCATTTTACCTGTTCAGTACACATGTATTTGTGCAAGCTTAACTGATTTTGGCAGCTTTTACAAATATTTGAATTCTTTCTCTCAATTTCACTAAAATTATAGACATGGCATGTATTCCTTTTCTGTGCTCTCCTTAATGCATTTAGATTGTTTCTGTGAGGATAAGGGGAAAATGACGAGTCTCTTCAACCATATTTATGTGGAAGTCTTGATTTTCATATTACCGCTCATGTATTTATTTTTTATTGTGAGGTGCTCCAAGTTTTATGCTAGAAATTGCTGGGCCAGTGAATGTGGTTCAAATTTATGGGATGTACAGTCTCTTCAGATCCTGGAGTGCATCTGAAAACTGTTCTCATTTCTATTCTTAACCTCTACAATCTTGTGAAGTAAAGCTTCATAATTGTGATTGATTATGTGCAGACCCAACTGTGGTTTAAAAACTGTGTCATATATAAACTACTAAGCTATAATTTCATGTATGAAAAACATTCATACTGGTAAATCTGAACAACTATGTTCTCGATTACTTTACCATGAGCATGTTACGAGGACTAGAGAAAGAGAGAGAATCACTGGTCATGAGTAAAGTTCTAGTTGTCTGATGGTTCACGAAAACCTGGAAAGTGTTTTACCCTTACTGCAGTGCATTGCTTAAGTCAGGTGCCTCATAAATGGTCTAAAAGGAACACTCATGCCATTATTTGGTGGTACGCTTCTGAGTTATAGTTTGTGTATTCTTTAAAATATGTTTTTTTTAATTTTTACGTCTTTTGGTCAGTGAGCCAAACCTGAAATTATTTATTTTTTCCTACAGTCTTAAATAATTCAAGGGCTTGAAAAGAGGCAATTTTGTTACCCTCTTTCTCAAAATTCTCTGGAAAAAAAAAAAAAAACCCTATAGTCTTAACAACAAAGAACAACAGTTTTGTTGT